GCAGGCAACCAAGAACTGCCCAGAGATCCCAAATTATTGAGGGGTGTACACCCTGAAAGAGAGTTGGACACCCATGGGCACAAAGGCAATGGAAGCCAACTCTTAATGTGAAAGATCTTTAATAAAATTCATGTGTGCAGAGAATCTTCATACTTCAAACTACAATGCTAGTTTCCCAACAAAGCCCCCCAATTACTCACCCCACCCCACCATAGGCAAATATCTAGCCTAACTGGGTTGACCCAAAGCAGGGCCACGGAGGCCTGAAAACTTGCCACAGAGTAGGCACCTTCTGGTGAGGAACAAGAACGGGTAGGTCTGGGACGGAGGAAGAGGCACAAAATGACAATAAATATCACGGCTGCCGTCATCTCTGCCACCGACAGCCTCCCTGCGTGTCTCTCACACACGTCTCTTCCAAGTCCCTACATGTCTGTCCTCCATGTCATCTTCCAAGAAGTGCCAGGGTATAAGTTGGGTCACAAAAGCCAAAGAGAGCTAGGCCTGCCTGCCTTTATTGTTCAAGAAAGGCTGCTCAGCTATGCCCCTGGATCCCAGTGGCTCCCTGCTCGAGACATCTGTTGGATGGAATGCTGGGACTTGTCACCTAAGGCAGCATGTATCAGTGGGGGAGGGGAAAGGGTGCCTCCCTTTAGTGGAGCTATGTCTTGAACACCAACACACACACACGATATTTTATATTTTTTACATACATGAGTTTTACCATATTTTGCATTCTGCATGTCAGAAATATACTGATAACTTTGTTTTTTGGATCCACAACGTGGTGGTCCACATAAGCACAAGCCTTGGTTGATATAACCATTTACCTATTGGTGATGTATAAGATGTGATTCCAAGTTTTCTTCTAAGTTGTCACACGTGTACTACAAGGAGCAGCTTTGCACATACTCAGTAATACACTCGATTCATATTCTTTTTTTTTTTTAAGATTTACTTATTTGTGCACACAGAACTGGGATACAGACCAGAAGTGCAGGGGGTGAGAGGATTCACCAGAGACAGAGTGGGGAGCAGAACAGGCTGCCTGATGAAGTACACTGCTGAGGGGAGCAGTGGGCGGGTCAGGAGAGGTCTGCCACGCCATGTGGAGGATCGAACTCATGCGGCTGTGGTGAGCTTCACATTGCTGCACTTTAACCCATTTCACCACCAGGGAGGGCCCCTCCATTCATTTTCTTAATGCCTTCTTTGCCACCTCATTCACTTGAGTGATTTCTAGAGTAGGTAATCCTATTATATTAGCAGGAGTTAATCTTCAAGTTAATCTATGTTAATTTATCTTCAAGTTTATTAATTTTTCCTCTTGAAGTTCAAATCCTCTATTAAGCCCCTCTAGTGACCAACATGGTGTGGCGGATCTCTCTTGGCCTCCCGGCTGCTCCCCTCAGTGGGACAGTGTTTTGGTACATCTGCCTATTCAGCTCCCCACTCCGTCTCTGGTGAAATCTCTCACTCCCTGCACCTCTGGCCCATACCCCAGTTCTTGTATGTGTAAATAAATAAATCTCTTAAAAAAAAAAAGTTTTGTGTTTTTCAATTCCAGAATTTTATTTGGTTATTTTTATAATTTCTCTTTATCAATAGTCTCTATTTAGTGAGACATTGATGACATACATGGTTTCCTTCAGTACTTTGAACATATTTATAAACTAGGTGATTTAAAGCCTGTCTGGTAATTCCAACATTTGGCTGCCTTAAGGACAGTTTCTAATGACTCATTTCTTCCTTCACTTGGGTCATCTTTCTCTGTTTCTTTGTGGGTGTCATAATTTTTTTTAATGGGTCTTTCAGACAGTGTGATATGAAACCCCTCCCCCAGCCCACCCCACCGCCAAGGCTTGCTGTTGCTGCCTTGTGTTTGCTTAATGATTTGCCTAAATGAATTCCATAAAGTCTGTATTTCTTGTGCAGTCACCTATGTCTTTCTCCGTTAGTCTAATGGTTAGGGAAAGAGTGGACCCAGATTTCTTTAAATGCCTTGAGCTAGAAAATCTTCCACCCTTTGCCAAGGAGTCGTGTGCAGTGGGCTGAGGTTGCCTTTAACTCTCACAAAGTTTCCAAGTCTGTTTAGCCTTCACTTCCTTCTTGCACAAGACCATGAGGTCAGCCAGAAAAGAGACATCTAGCCCCTTTCAGGTCTCTCCTGAGAGAGAGGTCTGCACATTCAGTTTTTCCAAGTCCTCTATGATTATCTAATTTCTCAACTGTTAACTTTTATCTGGGCTCTTGTTTACTTCCGTCTGTCATCACAATTACACAGAGGATAAGGATCTTACCATTGAGGCCTGAATAGCATTAGATAATCCCTGGAGGAAAAGGGTTTCCCACAGAGTCCAAGTTAAAGAATAACTGCACTCTAAATGAAATTTTTCCAGGTGTGATAGAGCTCTCTGAGGAGACCTTGACCTAGTTTGTCCCCTTTTGGGGCTGCAAGGCTGCAGGTTTTCAAGGTTACTAAGAAGCATGGACCAGAGGGGAGGGGCCTGGCCAAGTTCAAATCCCACAAAGCCCAATGCTCTTTCCAAAGTTGAGTAATTTCCTTTGAATAAACACTCTTCAGATTATTGTTAGCCTTTGGTTAGTTTCCACTAAATTTTGAATTTATTATATAAATTATAATTGATAAACACGCCAGTATTTGTGGCCATTATGGAGGAATGTCTTATAGGCTTATTCCACTATACCAGAAGTCCCACCTCTGGTGAGAGATCATTTCTAAGATCTGCCTTGCTTAGGGGAAAACTGATAAAAAGGTATCCACTGGAAATAGGATTAAAGTACTGCCCTAACCCTGGAGGCACCTGGGTTTCTTAAGGCATTTTCAAGATGGAAAAATTTCCTTTAGGATCCATAGGAGCCATTCCAAAATATTGGGGTAGTCTTAGTCGAAAGTCAGCAGGTGCCAGGGCTCATACCCAGGTCCCAAAACTTAACCTGCCCCACTCTCTTGGCTGTATCCCCAAGGGTGGGGGGGGTGCCTTTTCCAGGGGAAGAGAGCTGGCGTATTTGAGTACCTCCTCTAATCTACAAGAGTCATACTCAGCCTCACAACTTGCCAGCAGAACAAAAATCTTATTTCCTCTTTACACAGAGAAACAGTTTCTCAGCAGTCTAAGTCACTTAGAATGCTAGCACACTCTGGATGGCGGTGAGGGGACTCCACTTTGCATGAGAGCTGCCCCAGTGTCTTCAGAGCCAACATCCCCACCCTCTGCTGGCTACAGTGTGGGTAGGAAGACACCATGGAGGTGCCCAGTACAATTTTGAGCACCAGAGGTTGGAACCTCCTTTTTCACCATTTCATCTGAAAGACAACTCCCCGCCCGTCATGAAACTGAGCAACAGCAAAGCACAGGAGCGACTTGTGACAGGGGTGGGGGAAACAGGGTGCCCCAGGTTGTGAGTCCTCACCCACATCCCACATCGTAAGACCCCAAATCAGACACCAGAAAAATACTTTAAAAAGGTGTATTTAGGGGACCTCCCTGGTGGCATGAGGGGTTAAGTTTCAGCACTATGAAGCTATGACCCCATGGCCCTGGCACAGCAGACCTCTCCTGACTTCAGGTGATCTGCCTGTCCTGCTCCCCATTCTGTCTCGGGTGAATCCTCTCACCCTCCCCCCTTTCTTGGCCTGCAGCTCAGTTTTTGTATTCATAAATAAATAAATATTAAAAAAATAGTTTATTCACTAGGGGAGTAAGAAAAGGGAGGAGACAGTGAGAAAGGCCCATAGGTGGCACCGTCTGAGACCAGGGTGCAAGCCAAAGCCAGAAAAGTGAAAGAAGTCGCATCCACAGACTCATTCTCCTTGAGAGCAGCATGGCTACTCTGCTCTTCCCCTGGTTCCTCCTCGCAGCCCCCCCGCCCCACGACCCCCACTTTCAGGAAGGCTTATGTTGGGAGTTGTAATGCTTAGAGCCTGAGCTCTCCATGGTTCAGAGACGGGTGGACCCTGGAAAGGCCCACCTACACTCTGAGTGTCTCCGCTGGCTTGTCATTTCCTCCTCACTGTTTCTCTAATAGCTTGTCCCCCTTCCCCTCAACAAATACCTGCTGAGGTGAGCTCCCAGTCTGTCCCTTCATCAGGAGACAGTTTCCAGGTGGTTCCCCTACATCAAGGGAGGCAGGAAGGAAGCCTGGTTGTGACTTCCGTGTGGGGAATGTAGGCCTGTTCCCCTTTATGCGCCCACCAGAAAGGAGCCCACAGCTCACGTTCATTTAGCTCACTGCGTGCCCACAGTGTCTGTGAGGACAGGAAGGAAGTCCCCAAATGCCACGGCATCCTGCCCGATCTACAGCTCCACACACTCCCTCTGACTCAACTCATTTCAAAATCATTCATAAAAGACAACACTTTAGGTTGATCTCAGAAACTGACAAGAGAAGTAGCGCAAAAACAGTGCTCTCTCATGTGCTGGAGCATCTTCAGATGCACAATCTCAGTGGGACTGTGCAACCACCCTTCCAGGCAGGCAGGGTGAGTAACTGAGACTCTCGTTACAGAGGATGTTGTCAGAGGAGTCCCAGCTTCTACACTGGGCTTCGATACTCTGCGCGGATGCCTCGTGCACCAGCCCGGGCTCCTCAGGACCCAGGGGCGGGCAGGGCTTCCACCAGACATGGGCAGTGCTTAACTTCCTGAGCTATATAACAGCAGTCAGGGCATCCCTTTCTGAGCAAATCTTCTCACCAACGCACTGGGCTCTTGGGACTTCTGTGCATCAGATCTCTCTATGCCCATGGGAACTGTACCAGGCAGTCACACAAAAGCCTTGGCAGGCTCTGGGTACACACGAACGAGGAGCTGAGCACGTGTGCAGTGTTAGCTGGCACACTGGGGAACATCTCTCTGCGACGACTCCCCGCGGTAACAGCTCTGGAGAGGGCAGAAAGGAGGGCTCTTCCTTGCTCCACTGGCCCCAAAGTGTTGGGGAGGGAGGAAGAACCAGTCCCCTTTTGCTTTCTTCTTTCTGCTACACCTGTGGCTGACAGGTCTTTCGGATTCTTCTCCAGAGAAAGTGGGGCAGTATCTGCTCTCCTCGCGGGGGCTGCCCTAGGTCCAGTCTGGACCCATGCACCAGTCCGGCTGCAGGGCTCTCTCTTGTCCTTGGAGCAGGAGTGCCCTGCACTGAGCCATGGCCTTGATCTCACAGCGACACAGGGGACACATGGCCGTGTCCCTGAGGACTTGCCAGGCGCAATGGTGACAGAAGAGTGAGTGGCCACAGGGGACAAGGCAAGTGTTGGCGGCATGGTGGTAGCAGATGACACACTCCTCTTCTGCTGTGGTGTTGAAAAGGGACAATACTGGCTAGAGGCACATGAGGGCAAAGAGCAGGCAGCCTACTCACACTGTAACCACAGGGAAGACAACGGTAGCTCGTACCCCGAAGAACACGACGTCATGAGCAAATGTTCACCATGTAATCAAGTGAAAAATGAGGGGAAAACTACAGTGGGCATAAACAGAGTTCCATAAAATTATAATAATAAAAAAAAGAAAACAAAGCATAAACAATTCCCTATAGACATATGACTATAAAATAAAAATACGGGGAGGAAATCCACTTAACAGGTAATGGATGTTTTTTTTTTTTTTAATCTTTTACTTCCTTCTTTATCCTTAAATATTTATTTCACTCCAACCTGGCAAATACTATGGATATGGATTGCTTTTTTAAAGCAGGGACAATATAACTAATATAACTTATCTGGACATGAACGTGCTCTTGTAGCTTGTAAAGTTAGCTGATGTTCTAGAAGGCAGAGCTGTGAAGTGACTCTTAGCTTTCCTGTAGGCAGAGAGCAATCTTTTGGTCTAATGCCTGAGGAGACTTGCTAGGACTTGGAAAGACTCCCCTGTACTGCAGGGTCCCCAGCCTCCCCCAGTTTGCCTGTTGCTGATACCCCGAGTACCTGGTGCTTGGGGAGCCACTCACCTGTAAGCTGAAAGTCATGTCGGACAACCTTGGGCACGGCTGTGGGGCGGGCGCTGGCTGTGGGATCTGAGGCAGACAGAGAAACTCAGGGCCCAGGGAAAGCAAAGCCAGGGTGCTCTTACCCTGCAGCCCTTCAGACAGTATCCATCTGCTTTCCTTTCTGGGGTACCACGCTGGCACTTCCCACTAACCTTATGGCCCCGTTCTAGCCATCACTTTCCCAGTTTAATCCAGCACAAATTTATAGAACTGCAGATTCGTTTTCCTGATCTTCTTCAGGCAGTTCCTTTTTGGCCTCCTGCCACCTGAGAGCAGAACCTGGGCCTTACCCAAGGCTTTAAAATCCCCGCAGAGGCAGAGAAAACAGGTGCGTGGGCCCCACCCCAGACCTACCAAATTAGGGGCACCAGGGTGAAGCTCCAGCAGTGGTGACAAGGTATTTGAAAAACAAAGCAGCTTGGGGAGAACAGGCTGCCAGTGCAGGGCTCGGATCACCAGCACAGCAGTGCCAATACTTTGTGGCTGCCCCTTTATCTACTTGAGTCACTGACATCCCCCCTCCTTTCAGGCAGCTGGATGGCTCTCGTTGCCCTGTCACTGAGTGAATGTCTGGACTTCGTCCCACCAGCGGTCTTCTCGCTCACCTCTGACCCCCAGTTACTGCTGCCCCCAGTGAACGCCTACTTAGACTGCAAAGTCTGGCCCTTGTGACAGGTGGCCAGCTATTTAACTGGTGTCTAGGGTGCTGGGCATACCGTCTTATCATTCTCTAGGGATAAGACTGCCCTCCCTATGAGAGGTTTTTCAAACCCCATCCTGAGCTGATGGAAAAACTGACTATGAATGAATGCGGGGTTCCACCGCAGCTCCCACTGCCCCCAGAGGCGCCCACTCATTGCCTCACCCAGTAGTTCGATGGCCTTGGTGGTCCCGTACACGTCCATCACAGCCCACAGTGGGTGGCCCAGCGGCACATTTTTTCGCAAGCGGATGGGGCAGTTGGAGTTGACCTGAAGGAAGAGCCGGCCGCGGGAGTTCACCCAGAAGCACACCACGTTCCCGGGAAGCACGCAGTGGTTGGGCAGCACCGCCGCCCACGTTGGGCTCTGCTGCTCCAGGTCTGGGCACAGGAAGGGCGGCAGGCAGGGCCCCCACACGCGCGTGGGGTCCAGGCGAGTGAAGCCCACGCGGAGCCCACCGTGCCAGTGGCTCTCGTGACACAGGATGCGCAGCACCACCCGCTCGCAAGGCTGCACCGGCCGTGAGCTGAACACGATGCCATCGTGGAACGTAGCTTTCCGGCGGGCAGTGCTCTGCCCCTTCTCCAGACACACTTGTGTGCCCTTGGCATCAGCGTGGAAAAGAAGTCTCCCTTGGGGTGCCTGGTCATCTGTAGGGAGCATGGGAGGGCATCAGTACAAGCCCCAGGCCCACGGGCTTTTCCCGGACACTCAGCTATCAGCACTTGGGGCCACTCTCACCGTGGCCCTGGGGGCACTGCTCTCCCCCCTCCCCTGAGTGTGCGCACCAAAGGTGGAAGGTGTGCTCATCGAAAGGTGGGGAACGCGCTCGGACTGCTCAGGTGTGAGTTTCCACAATGAACCTCCCTAAGCCTCAGTTCTCCTCCAGAAGGGAGGGTATACAAGTTCAAGGACCTGATACCAGCACTCTCCACACCTGCAATGGCTATGATTGCCTTTACATAGAAGCAGCTGGTTGTAGAACAGTGGCTATAACATGATCCTCGGTGTGTTCAACATGCTTATTACACACATGCACATATATGTTATACACACACAGAGAGAGAGAGAGAGAGGTACATGTACCTGTATTCACACACACGGGTCTAAACAACCTGAAACAACCTGTTGTATCTAAACCTGAAGGGGCTGGACCTGCCAGCTGTTGTGGGCCTTGGCAGATGGGCCCGGCATTAGCACTGTGTTTTCCTCCTTGCTTGTCTGCCTCAGAGAACCTATATTGCCTGTGAAGGCCAGGGTCCCAGTGAGTCTGACTTCCTAATTTTGGGAGAGCTAGGGGTCCAGTAGCTCCCCGTGGGTTGGGGGACACGGGTTGGAGAGAACCTCTCAGAATCAAGGACTTGGCCCAGCAAAGGCCTGAGGTGGGCTTGGCAATCAGGGGACTGCCTGACGTGACTCCACATGGCAGCCCTTTCTCCATCAGCCCTTTCTCTCAGCCCTGAGACCTGGGACAAGTTGGGAGAGCTTCCTACCCCTGAACTGCTCTTAGCCAACTCCCCAGGCCTTGTGTCAAGCCTCTCCCCCTTGCTCCTTCTCCTCTTTCTGGGTAGAGATGAGTTGACTGTTGAATCTAAAAAGGAGTGAATTCAGTCAGAGCCAGGCTCTGGCTCCTTCTCTCCCGCCCCCTTCAGGTTCTCCTGGACCCCTTCTCTGACTATGTGCATGCCTGCAAGATTCCAGCAGGCCCTAGAGGGGACTTTCAATCTGGTCCGGCACTAGTGACACCCCGAGTCACTAAGTCACAGAGACTCTACCCCTGACCTCATGAGTGAGAGGTATGTAGCCCATGCCACGACATGAGGGCTGACCTGGCCTGAGGACCTTTGCGCCTGTCCTCGCAGAGTCCTGCTATCCAAGCTCATCGGCCCTCACCCATGTTCCCACCTAAACTGCCATCCCTCCTCCTTCCTTTCCTAAAGGGTCAAACCAGGATTCCCTGCTCCTAGATGTCATGCCTCAAGCAAGAGTGAGGCCCCAAGGTGGGAGAAATGGCAACCAGGAACTGAATCCATGAGCCTGACGCTGGATGGACATTGCTGACTGGCACCCAGGGGCTCATAAAGGGCAGCCATATACAACACCCCAAGTCTAGTCTCAGCTCTTCTGCCGAGGGCAGTGAGGCAGGCCCTGCACCTCTAGGCATAGGCCTCCTTACCCACAATGGAATGCTAGAACTGGCCAGCCAGTGCCTGGCTTCACTAGGTACCTGTCTTAGTTAGGTCCTTAACAATAGGCCTCCCTGGTGGCATAAGGGCTAAAGTCTCAGCATTATCAGGCTATGGAGAGCCACTGCAGCGTGAGTTCTATCTCTGGCCACCCATGGCACAACAGACACCTCTCCTGACCTGCCTGCTGCTCCCCTCAGCAGTGTATTTCAGTACATCTGCCTGTTCGGCTCCCCACTCTGTTTCTGGTGAATCCTTCACCCACCACGCCTCTGGCCTACACCTCAGTTCATGTATGCATAAATAAATAAATCTTTTTAAAAACAAGGTCCTTAACTCGAGGGGTTAACGGCCCACCTAGGCAGGCTTTGGGTCTGGGGCACCAGGGGTGGGGATTGGAGCTTCCCAGGGTAACCAGCCAAGAACACCCCAAGGAGGTAGAACACTTCCCCTCACTTGACTGGGCACCGCCCATCCCTGGCACGGGCATAGGAGGGGGCTTGGTGAGGGTAGGGTCAGCACATTGTCCTCCACACACCAGCAGGGCCCATCTGCCACCACTGGGAAGGAGAGATAACCCCGCCCCCGACAGTGGGCGAGCAGCGTGTGCCCACAACAAGAAGGGGCAGAGCTGGGGTTCAAACTGGCTTTACCCTGCCTCCGCTTCACCCACGGCAGCCCCTGTGGGGACAGGGCCCACCCTTGGTTCAGGAGAATGGGAGACCCAGCACGCTCTTGGGCCTGGACAGTAACCTGCAGAGTCGAGCCCATTCTGACCGGGCACCTCTTGCTCTCCCTTGGGAAAGGATCCTGTGTGGGGTTTGCTCCCATGCCCTGAGCAGCAGCCCTGGCAGAGCCCAACTCAGGTAGGACTGGCTCCATGAGAGCGGGGACTGAGGAGAGGCAGAGGAGCGAGGGGACTGCCCACAGTATGGGGGGAGGAAGAAGACCTGGGGATGTGGGTGCATGAGTGCCTCGCGGGCAGCAGGATCCTGGGGTTCCGGCAGAGCAGGAATTCGACAGTCTGGAAAGCTCACCATATTCCTGCCTCGGGAGCTCTGTCTGTGTCACCCGGCGGCCGGTGGACTTGAGCACCCTTCTCCCACACGCCCACTCACTACTTCACTGCCTCTAGCTGAAGGGCTAAACCTTCACCCACTCAACCCTCCATCAGCCCCAAAGGCTGCCTCTTCATTCCCGTTTTGCAAACCAGGAACAGAGCCCTGTGTGGCTCTCTGAGCAGCCTGTTCCTAGTATTAACCCCATTTTCAGGCAGGACCCCAAGGCTAGATAAGCAGAGTGACTCCCACAAAGGGCCTCGGCCACAATCATTCCGCCTGCCCCCTCTCACGCTCAGCTGCAGCAGCCAGCCTGCGTGCTGGGCTTGACAACAAAGCCCTACTCGCTTCAGGGACTACAAGCCATGGCCTTTTGGATGTCTCTCCCCTCCGCCCCCAACAGGTGGACTCTAGAGAATTCTAGACAATCTTCTCAATGACGTTCTCAGAATCTAAGGGACTGATGGTCAGCCCCCGGGTCAGGGAGGACTCCCAGGACTCTTCGTCATCGTCATCCCCACCCCTTTGGCCCTCAAGCCTCTCTGGGTGCCAGGATGGGAGATGAAGAGCTTGAGTTTTTAATTCAGATGGGTGTGTGGGGATGTCTCCTCCTTTCCAGACAGTCTCAAGCCTTTGCCCTTGGCCCACATGTACTTTCCAGCCTGTTTTATCCCTCCCCACAAGCCGAGGGAAGCTTCCAGAGGGAACTGAACTTGGAGAGGTCTTACAGCCCAAAGTGGGAAAACCCCAGCGCTCACCACGCTGCCAGTGCTGTCTCCATGGCATTGCCATGGCCTGGACTCCAAACATAGTGAGGCCTCAGCACGACATGGCCCAGACTCTGGGTGCTGCCTGCTGCAGGTGTGTGAGCCTCCGGGCTAAGAGCAAAGACTCAAGACTGTCCGGAACGGAGGAGACATCCCCCACTGGATTAAATGCCCATCTGGATTAAAAACTCAAGCCCTTCAATCTCCCATCCCGCCCATGTAGGGAACACTGTAGCCTCGGCTGAGGCCCTATAGAAAACTTTCCCGCCTGGCAAAATTTTTGGTTTGTGTGAGCTGTCAGCCAACAGATTGGGTTGAATTGGCTCTGGCCTGCAGATGAGGAAACTGAGGCCTTGGGACAAATGACTTGCCCAAGTCCCTACAACTCAACTTGGCAGAGCTGAGCTCCTTTGTGTCTCACCAAGTCCCCTAACTCTACACTGTTCCCCACCCCAGGCAGTCTTCCCTCTGCACAACAGGAGCTGAGCGCAGGTAGGTCATTGCATCGCTGCAGGGAGGCAGGGCAGGGCCTGAGTCTTTCCGTGCTGGATTTGTACAGGAACAGAGAAGCTCCCTGCTGGAGCTCATTAGCTAGGGCAGCCTGGCCCGCAGAGGCAGCTAATTCTGAGCAGTGTTTACACCAACCACCCCTCTGCCTCCTAGAACATCTACCCCAGCAACGACAGACCCCCCTCTGCTCCTGGCACCAGCCCAGTGACCAAGGCTAGGCACCCACTTACCAGCTGGGGAGCAGAGCTTGGCTCCCATCAGTCTGAATCCTCAAGCACAGGTCCCTGAGTCCAGAAGGAATTGTCTGAGGAAGTCTAGTGGACAGGTCTCCCAAGACTCAGCAGATCCTCTGCTCAAGAGCTGGGGTCAAGTTACTGGGTTGATGATTAATTATGCTAATGGGAATTTCCCCATGCTATATCCTGGCTTGCAGCAGCCTTCCCACAGTGAGCTAGCCTAAGGGAAGCAGGAACTGGAGTGAGGGCCTGAGTGGGATTTAGGGTCGACTTTTCTCTTACTTCTGATGAGTTTTCTCAACCTCAAAGCAAAGGTTAATGAGTACCTACCCCCGGACCTGCCCCTACAGACCACAGTTCCAGTAATCCTGGTGGCATGTGGCATCTGTACTTTTTAAAATCACCCCCAGAAGATTCTAATACAGAGGCAGGGTAGAGATTTACAGATCCTGGCACAGAGAAGATGCATAATCAATGTTGCTGACTGAATTAAATGACCTGCACCCCAGAACTGTGAATTTTCCCCAGCTCTGGGTCTCCTATGGACAAAAGTACTAAGCACAGATTGAGGGAGGTGTTGACTGTACCCTCAGATTCCACCACAACACATAAATAGCCCTGCAGGAGATCCTAGTGTTTTAGATGTGGCTAAGAAGTCAGACATCTTCTGGCCCCTCCATTTCTGTTAGGGAAACTGAGCCTGGTGACAGGAAACAGGTTTACGCTAGTGCTTCTCTGTGCAATTTGCACATGAGTCTCTGGGATCTTATTCAAAAGTAGATTGATTCAGGAGTTTTAGGAGTGTGTCTGGGATTCTGCCTTTCTAACAGGATAGTCCTGCGGGTCACACTTTAGGTAGTGATAGCCTGTGTTAGTTTGGAGACCTGTGGGTACTCTGGTCTTCTACATCCGGCCTAAGCCCTTCCCAAGGCCCATGATCAAGGTCATGATCAGTGACCACTCTGGACCCAGCTAACTGGGTGGACATTTTCTGTGTATGGCCTGAGGGGGGCTGTGATTAGTGGTTGTTGACTGGGCTGGGGAGGTTGGCTGGTGGAAGGATGAGGGGTTGGGTGACCCCGTGTGCAAAACCAGAAGCCAGGATGGCAGCTTTTACCTGGACAGGGAGGTTATAGCTACCTGACCCTGAATGATTTCTGAAGATGCTGCTGCCACCCTGGACCTTGCCACACTGTGTCCATGTTTTCTCCTTTATAAGTACACTTCTAGAGACCACAAACAAGCTGGTGACTGTCACTACTCAACAAGAATGACCATGACTTCAAGGTTCATGGTTCCAGCTGGACCAGCCTGTGACAAAGTTCCCAAGGTATGGATCAGCTTGCCTTGACTGAGAGATCCAAGTTCAGGGAAAGCCCAGGGCAGTACTGGGGTCCAGAGGTCTCTCCTTCTCCTTCCTGCCCAGCCCTCTCTCTATCTGTAGTGCTGCTGCCTTGGTGGTACCCAGGGCCTGGAGTCAAGGGCACCTTGTTGATTAATCACATACTGCTAAGAGATAAGCATGAAATCATATCAGGGAAATAAAGTCTTGATTGTCAGCTTGTCTGGAAAATTACTGGCACTGTAGACACAAGGCTGCCCTGTGCCTGCAGGCTGAGCTGGTTTGTCCCCATCTGTAGGACCTCAGGCGAGGAGAAGCTAAAAAGGACTTGGGAAAGAAGATATGGAGCATGTGCAGTAGACAGACAGGTGAAGACATGTGAAGGCTTGCTTCTCGGCCGCGGACTTGCACCAGGGACCTGGGACATGGGAGGCTGACAATGGCAGACTATCTGGACTTGTATTTTGATTTTGTTCTTTTCCTTTCAGACTTGTTTGGCTCCTTCTGCCCTTTCCTCTATGGGTCCTCACCAAAAGGTGCCTTAGACATGAGCAGGTTTTCAACCTCAGAGACCCCACTTTGGGCCAACCTAGTTTGACATTTACCCACATGAGGGGGTGGGTAACTTTGAGTGTTTTGTTGGGAAACTATATCCTTTCTTTACTTTCTCTCTATGCCAGGCACACTAATTCTATTAAGGTTCTTTTCTATCAAAGGTCTTATACACCAAGAATGTGCTTTACCTTTATGCAGCAGGGGTCAGAACCCATAGAGTGTGCAAGTTCATGGGTCCCAGAGCGCTCTTCGGTCTCAGTGCTAACAAGACCACTTTACACCATTCTGAATAACACCATTTAGCTGTTATTCATGTCTTCCCATTTGAAGACATGTGGTAACCCATAGGAGGAGCTTTATGGATCTTTAATGGCCAATCACCAGCGTGTGAGGTGGAGGCTGCCCCATGATGGAAGCTGTGTCCTTCTCTCCCCTCAAGACCACACTCAAGATTGTGGTAAATGTTTGTTCCAAGAGAGAACTGACTGCCTTTGAAAGGAACCCAGCCTGGCCCAGTGAATGAGGTGGCTCCTGCTGGCTGTACTTGGTACTGCAGGATGCTCTGAAGCTGGGCATCCTCAAGGCACCAGGTGAGGGGCAGCTCTCAGGGGAGAGGGAGCTGAGGCTTTAGAGGCCTGTGCATCTCTCTCTAGCCCCACCCCACCCTGCCACAGTCCTTCCTCCTTAGGGCCCCCTAACTGGAGATCGACCCTCACTTTGAAGGGGCCCCGTCTTTACAGAGGCTTACATAGAGTCATCTCCTAAAATGCCTCCAGCACTGCTAGAAACCATGGAACAATCTCCTTACAGATGAGGGAGCTGAGGGCTTACCCAGGGTTCAAACCAGCCTGCAGAGGGAACTCAGAGGATACCCAGCCCAACCTGTGTCTCCTGCCAGGTGGCCCTGAGACTCCTCCTGTATTAGTCCTGCCTGTCCTCAGCTCCCTGGGAAACGGGGGCTGAGGTGCCTGGAAAGCAGCACCCAGAGTAATCAGGACCATGAACACAGTAGGCCATTTCCAAGGAGTTCTCAGTGCCAGATAGTGCAATAAGGAGACATCTCTAAAAGCTGCCCATCTGCCTAACTTGTGAGCCAGGACCCCACTCCTCTGAGTATCCACTCAGCTGCAGCTGTTCACAGAGCAGCATTATTCATGACAACCCAGACAAGAGACAATTATCCACCCTGCCTGATGCTGATGGCTGCTCAGATCTTGCTTCACAGTAAAGGACTTGCCCCAGGAAGTGGGAATGCTGTCGTTATGGGGTCAGCTGAGGCTTTTGTGGCAGCTTCTCTGCAGTCTGCTCCTCTTTTGTCCACTCCTGTTTCTACAGGCATCGATCCTGAGAACATTCCCTAATAAACCCTATCACTAATCTGTCTCTGAGGTTACTCCCGGGAACCCAACCTCCCACACCCATCAACAAGAGAATGGAAAAACTGCCTTGCATCATACCATGAAATGCTCATGATGGTTTTAAAAAAAGAACTTCCTGCTATCCACAACCCGGTGGAGAAGCTTGTGGATGTAAGAGAAGATTCAAATGCCACGGACCACGTGCTTCCGTTTAGAGGACTTCAGAGCAGTCTAAATTCATCTGTGGTGAGAGAAGTCAGGATGGAGCTCACCTCTGGGAGCTCATGACAGAGAAGGTAATCAAGGGATACAGTCCTCTAACTATCGGGGGTGTGTGTGTATACTTCTTCATCTGGACCCTCAGATCATGTCAGTGGTACCTTGCTACATATTAGGAAGTGTCTCAGCCCTAAAACGGATTCTGAGGGAGCTTATGAACAAACCAGAAAATCCTGCCCTGCCCAACAATGGATTTAGCTAACACTGCCGCCAGGTGGTGAAAAATAGAACTGCTGTGGACCTAATAACCGGGACGGAAATAGGACCACAAAGGCTCCCAGCACCCTAGACCTGCTGCCCACACACCTTTGTCTCTGGGTACTCCATCTCCTTCCTACCCACTTCCTTCCTGACCATAAGCTCCCCAGTCGCTTTGAGGGTCCACTTGTCATTTAAATAACTGAGATGCTCAGATTACATTTTCAAAACTCTATAGCTATGTTCTACCTGTAAGAAAGATAATTAAGTACAATAACACAAATACTGGAAAGAATTCTCTACTAAGCAAATACTAAAAAAAGGATGGTGTAGCAATATTTATGTCAGGCAAAATAGATATGAAAGTGAAAGTCATCACATAAGGCCTCACTTAAAGTCTTTAATAGGGTCTTAGAAACAGCGACTTTAAGCAAATACATGGGACAGCTGGCCCTTGAATGTTCAAGTTCTTTGTCGACTGACATTGTTTTTCTTTTCCATCAATATAAAGAAATGATGTTCAAAGAAGCAACCACATAAGGATTAATGGAGTAACTCACCAAAAGGATAAAATGATCTGGAACCTGAGCACCCCTAATAACTTCAAAATATATACAGCAAGTATTTATTGGCTTACACATCATTAGGGATTGTGGCAAAGTCATAATGTTAGTATGCGATTTTATACAAAACACTGTGGACTCCAGACTTCCCTCACCATCAACAGAAATGTTTCCTTTCACATGATCCAATCTAGATTTACTTTCTTCACCCTTCACTATTTGTAAACGGAGGGAGGAAGCAGTCCAGAAATTTCTCATCACAATCAGTGAGTAACTGCACATATTTGACAATAGAAATGTACATACTCAGGTGTTTTTCTTAAAATAGCCATTGTCGGGGTGGGAGAGTTAAAAAAAATAGTCATTTTCTGTTCTGTCACAAATGCATGAGCCTCAGTCTGGCCTGAATAAATTTTCTTTACACCTACAGGACCATCTACTACACAATGAGGAAAGGCCTGTTTCTTAAGACACTGCATTGCAATGATCTAAGTTTTGTAAACTAAATCATACTCCCAAACACAGTCACAAGCACTTGGATGTGTATTGGATGTGTGTGTGTGTGTGTGTGTGTATAGTGCTCTTCCCTGTTCTGTAATTTTAAATTAGCAAAGGAGAGTGCTTAAAAAAACAGAAACATTATCTCATCCAAAGTCTGGCTCACATAGAAGAAACAGACCCAGCGAGAGTTTTCTCAGAGCCTGGGAGGTAGTGCAGCGACTGTGAG